AACAGCAGTTTTCAGTTATGTGGCTATTCCTTCAGCATTCACTGCAACGGCATCACTGCCGCAAAAAGAATTTTTTCATATCACAGGAAGTCATGACAGTAGTACTATAATACCAAAGCCTAACCTGGCACTGTAATACTTTCCATTCACTCCCCAATCCATCAATCAGCAAACCTAGTTAAAAAGAAAAGTCATTCAAATCAGAAATCCTGCACATTGTCAAACACAACTCAAATGCTTCAGAGGATCCTGTTAGGGCCACAATGAATGGTTCAGAAGTCTTGAAAACAGGATGCTGGGTGAGAAAAGGCAGGGCAATGTGGGCGCTGGAAGAGTATAGCACGACAATGTATAGCAAGCTGGAAATATATGTAAACTATAGACTGTGTTATGAATGCACAAGACAGATATTATACTAATAAAAGTTGGAGCGGGATCAATCAGCAAATCAGTCAAACCAGCCCTAAGCATGATCATCCTTGGTTGTAATGGTTCAGGAGACTGAGGGGATATTTGTTGAGCAACGAGCAATCACAGCCTAATACTTCTATATATTATTTACATGCACACGCGCGCACGCACACACATACACACACACACTAGGAGAGCTGCAATAATTTTAAAAATAAGGGACAGGAAATGGCATGCTCAAGAGTGTAATGGTTGTCACAGTGTTATTAATCAAATGCTGCTTTGTAATAAAAGTGCTGTAATATATTGACCACTAGGAACAGCTTCCATCAGGGAATAATCTAATTAAACTATGCAATCAGTCCTTGTGGTTTATCAGAATTCCATTGTCTGTAACAGCCTTCATCACAAAGGCCAATTAGGCAGTGTTGCTGCAAAATTAGCAGTAAACCTACAGACATGTTTCCACAGCCAACTGGTAAATCTGGTAAACTCATTCACACAACCACAGATTTTCAAATCCAAGTTTTGTTTCCAATTTTTTTTCCCTTCCTTCCGCCTACCACAACCTCCTGTGGGAAACCCTTTATGACTTAAAATCCCCTCTAATCTTCGTGGAAACTCAAAATCAACGACTCATTTCCCAATGTGCTGTTTGTTTAAGCTCAGGCTCACGGCCAGTGGTTTCTAAAGGTAGCAGGAACACACACTACTGAGGCCACCTGACATCTTCACTCCTGCATCTTTGTTAATCATCAGCTTCTTATCAAACATCCTTTCAAACATTCATACAGTGCTTTTAACCACACATGATCAAAATAGGGCCTGATAGCTAAATCTGACCCAGGGTCTGGACAGAAACTGTGTGCAAAAATCCTAAAAATCAAAAGCAAAATAATCCCTAAAATGAAAATAAAAAAGGCAGCACTATGTTAATGAAGCTGAAGGACTGACTGAACCTGATTCCAACCGAAGGTGCCCCTTTTAAGACTGTTGTGGCCATTGCAAATTATTCATTATTAATATAAGAATGTATATAATATGGCTATCTTAAAAAAATGCAGCCCTCTTCCACTTTTTACCTACATACATGCACACAAATACACACAGGAAACTAGACAATACCCCGTTTAGATAATATTTTTGACTATAGCCCGCAAGTCTTATTTGTAGCCCTAATGTATCCAGGTTAGCTGGCTTTAGCCCTCGTCAGCACTGGCAGGGGAATGTGAAAGCTCTGCTAATGTGTTTTACTGTTACAGAGGAAATTAATTTATTACAGGCAGGGAAAATAATCAGCTGTCATAGACAAGCTGGGCCAACACTGTGGGAAATAAAAAGGAGAAATTTAGCAATATTTTTAAATCTAAAATTACACTGCAGACTTGATTGGGTTATTTAAGTAATTGAAGAAATTAGGTGATTTTAAGTAACTGTTTTAGTAAGTTATTTCATACTTATTGCTTTTTCTTGTTGATATTATTCAGAATTTTATCTTCTGCTTAGCAAGAATAAACAGAACCCTGATTGATGTTAAAAACCAAGGTTCATGTTGAGCAATGACTGTTTTTATACTGTTACAGTTTGCAACAGTTTACTAGCTACATAATCAAATGAACAACACATACAGAATCACTGTGATTAAGGCAGTAAGCTGTCAATGTCCCTCAGCTTTACTTTTAAGCCACAGTTTAAGTAGTCTGCCTCCTTTTTTTTGATTTGTTTTGAGGTACAATATTTGTTGGGGTTGAGAGTGGAGGGTGAATAATAACAATTTTTTTTAAAAAAAAATGTTATTTTTGACTGCAGGCACGATTACTCAATCATGACTGGACCCAAGGACAAAACAGGGTGCGACCCATCTAATTGTAATTTGAGACCTTGGATGCTTCTATCTCAGATACTATCTGTTTCAGAGCAGTTACACACCTAATAGATTTGGCATGATGCACTGCGCAGCACCTCTGACATCACATCAGCCCCTTCTATCAACAGTGGATCAGTGGCACAATCAGAAGGAGAGAGAGATCCCAGCCTTTACTGGGCCAACTTTACAAGACAAAGTCAGCACCTCATAACTTGCCTGTTTCTGAGCTGCATCCAGTGACAGAAAAAGTGATAAGATAAGTGCTCTCAGGAGGTCATTTCTCTGAATTTTCTTTTACTGCCAATCGCAAGTGTTCTCATGTAAAAAACACACAAGTGGTATATTAAGTGTATGACTGTAGTATTTTATTCAGATGTTTACGGAATACAATTACCTTAAAGAACAAAGAAAATCCATCCAAATCAAAAATAGTAAACCTCATTCTAATAAACTGCCACACAATTCTTATATACTAATAATACCCAAAAATGTGGTCCAGCTTTCCGGTGCAATCACAACCACTACAAACAATTCACCAAACCACAAAGCCAATACAGCGGAAAAGCTTGTGTTGTGAACATGTCTTGCACAACTCGATTAAGAAAGACACAGGAGACTGTGTTGGTGAGAGTCAAAAAGATTCTGGGTATTCTACTCTAGTCCAAAGTTAGGTACTGGTGAGAGGTTTAGCGAATGTAGCAGATAAATATTTGAATTCAAGTTACGCATGATGAAGCAAGTAAAACCAAAGAAAGCCCCCCCCCCCATAACACGCAGTAATTGCTCCAATGCCTCAGTGAAAATCTTTCAAGCTGAAAAACTGGGGTGAGTGTAAACCTGTGAAGAAGTCTGCATTTCCAGGGCAAAACTACAATTTCCAAAGCAGCAGGATAGGTAGGAGCCTAGATATAAGTGATGTTCATTCCACTTAAGGTTATTCATTACCAAAACAGGCAACAGTGTAAAACGCTGCCCTTCCCCTTCCTCTGTAATCTGACAGCGAGATATAGAATGGCTTCTAAAATAAGAGCTGAATCCACACTCCAAGCCTAGTCACTTCCATATCTCACAGTATGAGGGCCAGAAATGACAAAGCTCAGCAGTTTTCTAATGAGACTATAACAAATGGAAGGCCTATATTTAGGTTATTACAACATCAGCAGTGCGCACGCAGGTTTGAACATGGGTTTCTGTGCATGCCTGATAAAGTCATGACAGTACCCACAATTAGTCAGATGCTTTCTAAAGTACAGTGCTTAGGCAGAATTTACTGTGCTGCAGACAAGAAAAGAAAAAAGGTTTGCAAATGCTTTGTTTTAAGTTTTAGTTCACTTCAATCACAGGCAAAATATTTAGACACGATGGCCATTCTCTCAGAGCATACAGTTGTGCAGCAAACAAGAAACAAGATTTTCTACTTCCCATGTAGCATTACAGAGAACTATGCACTTTACTATAAATAGTAGATAACAGAAAAGTGTATGGATTTCTGTCAAAAGCACAGGCATTGATTTTAATGTATCTGGGCCAATAGTGCCAAGGGTTCTTGCCAGCCTAAAACTTAAATCTAAAACAAGAAAAATGCTTTGTTTAATCAAAGAAACAAAGTTGCTTTGGAAGTATTTGTGCATCACCTGAGCATCAGTTCGAATTGTCACAACTGTCACCAACGACACCTGGAATCAAGTTGGTCTCCATACAATTGTTGATTTAGGTTTTTGATACAACAGAAAAAGAAAGGGAGGCTAAGGAGCTTGGAATAATAAAAAAAAATTGGAGTTCTTTAAGTTTCTTAAAGACATTTTACCTCTTATTCGAGAAGCATCTTCAATTCTGAAAGAACTATTCAAAGAAAGTGTCCTGATATGTATATACTGACTTTATCCGAACTTAATGATTTCCTATCTTCTTCCAAAAACATAAAAACTACAAAAAAAATTGAATGTTAAGCTGAAAGATTACGTGGAACAGGAAACGAAAAACCTACAGTCGAGTTCACTTGAAAGAAATCTAAAAACAACAACAAAGCTCAAATAAGCCTGGACAACTGCTGCAGAGTGCAATTTTGAATGTTCTTAATCGCTCAGTTTCACTCCATCACAAAGAAGTTCTTTGTATACCATGACTTCTCTGCAGAATGGGCAAAGCTGAAGGACCAACAACAGCATAAACGTGAACAAAAGCGCCTGCACTACCAGTTGTCCCACATCCTTGACGGCATTTTTGTTACTGTTACACTGTATTACTCAGTGTTGATTATTGTGTTTACTGTGTATATACATAATACTTGTTCTGCTTGGTTGATCCTGTGAAATGAGGCTATGCTGACAACAGCTGTCCAAGTCAATTATTGATATGTAGTAGTCCATTGTGAGAATGTTTATAAGGGCATTTACTATAAGTGAATCAGCTCTCTGTAAAAAATAATGAACAGGCATTACTACTGTGTTGCTAGGGTTTCTATTTCATATTGAATCTCCTGACAATTCAATTTGATCTCAGTTATTTCAGTGCTTTCTAGGATAACAGGTGTGCAAACGCACAACAGATGTATTTTAGGTAATGTGTCTTGGGGAACTGAAATTATTTCAAAGCCACATCTACCAAATATACCTCAAGTGCAAAACAGGAAGGCTATGAAAACGCAATAAAATAAATACATTGCTTTAGTGCTTCTATTTTCTAGAAGTTATAGACGTCACTTAACTTGTGGTTTACTTACTGGTTAGTGGGAGGTGCGGAGAGTGGGAACGTCACCTCTTCTTCGTCGATTTCCATCCCATCTTGCATGTCGCTTTCATCCATAGTGCCACCGAGCCCCCCACAGCTAGGAGGCGGAGGAGGTGGTGGTGGAAGTGGTGGGAAGACAGTGGGCCCATCCGGGCCTGTTGATGTGGGTGAGATCCGACTAGCTGGACCCTCCATAGTTGGAGAGCAGCACATGCCGCCCACTGTCCCTGAGCTTGTTCCTTGAAAAACTGAATGTCCACCTCCTGCTACGCCACTCCCTGCTCCGGTCATATCCCCACTAAGCATGGAGGAATAGATTATATTCATCTCTGAAAGGGAGTCCGGAGATGTGTTTGAATGCTGTCGGGTGGCTGGTGCCGGCCCTTGCACCAAATCAGTGGTTCGGACTCTGCTCGGCTTGGGATAGTATGGGAAAGGGGCCGTCGTCTCCGGGCCTCCTCCGCCTGCCACCCCTGTCCCTGTCGCGACCGAGCCCGTATCCTCACTGCTGACCTCCGCTGCCATCATAGTAGAAAAATACGTAGAGGGGAAAAAGTCCAGAAGGGAACCTGCCCTTCCCCTCTGTTTTTACAATAATCCCCCGGTGTTTGGGCTCCTGGGAAACAACACCAAAAGTTTCTCAAAAACGCGTTCAGCTAGCCGGCTAATGTTAGCCAACAGCTAACTTAGCTTACTTGGCTGCACTAGCGGGCGTTAGCTTCGCCTCGCATTCGCTCCCTGCAAAAATCACCGAGCTAACGCTAGCGGGACAGCTAGCAGCTTCGAGACACTTGATGAGTTCTTGCTCGCTATGTCTTCATTGTTTCCTGAGTTTAGAGTTCACGCAGAAACACTACATGAGATTAACCGTTACAATACTTCCAACAGAATATCACTTCACCTATATTTCCTGTTGGTATTTTTGAGTCTGGGGGGATGTTCGGACTTCACCCTCGGCACCAAAGCAGACCACTTGTCGATGAGTGTTGTTTTATTGTCACTGTTGTGTGTAATCCCCTTCTTTTTTCCCAGTGTTGTTTTCTTCAGTTTTAAACCGTCTCCAGTAGCGTTCCCAGACGACTTCAGCCTTATCTCCTATATCCCCGGAGCCGCATGTTGTTCTCCGCGTACTGCCATGTCGTTTACCAACATTTATTATCTGCGTACAAGCTTTATTTCTGGGTTTCGGGGCTAGTGGCTTGCCCGCTGCTGCGCTGCTCTTGTCTCCCCTCCCTCTCCCACTCCTCTCCAGTTAAAGATCAGACACAGCTAAGTGAACACAGAGCGGAACTTTTTTTCCCCCCAAATTTAATCCATGGCATCTTCAATCACGTTAAATCTTATTAAGTTGAATAAAATGCGATATTGTCCTTGTTACGTAAATGAAATATAGAATCTCATTATGGTTTGTTTGTTTTTTTCTTACCAGAGGATCTCAGAAAAGAAGACAAGTAGCAGAGTAAAATCAGTCCTCTAGATATTTTTCTGCAAATAATCTCTTGCTGAACTACTATACTGTGGCAGGAAATGTTTACACCTTTGATCTGCTGTTTTTAACACGTCAGCAGCACCGAACAAGTTTCACTAGTTATCAGATAAGCGGCTCTGTACAATAAACAGAAAAGAGTAATTAGAAAAAAAAAACATTTAATGGCAGGATTTATTTACAGTTCCCCATTTAATCTACAACTGCAAAAATATATTTTTTAATTGTACCTCTTATTCTTGCTTCCATACAAGAACACAGAGATTCAAAATCTCCCGTGATGTTATCAGTTACACCTGAGCGTTTCCCTTTCAAGCCCCAACTTCACATTGTGATTTGTGTGTACGTGTGTGTGTTCCTGTTTTTCCTTCAGACAGGTAATGAAAGTCTAGGTAAATGACAGCATGTATAGTTCCACGTCCTCTAATTCTAACTAATTTCACCACTGCATCCTGTTAGATAGAAACATACTGGGTAGATATGCTACAATGCTATTCAGCTGTTTAAGATGTTCGAGGCGTTTACCTTAACATATTGGCAATAGCACTACGGGGCAGCAAGAAAACCGCTTAAACTAATTTGCAACCTTTCAGTTACGTTTATACAAAACAGGAAAATGCTTTAATTGCAAAGTCATAAATAGCATGATAATACTACTAAAATACCAATGTGAAGGGAAAACGCTCAAAAAAAGCACGCACAGATGTTCCATCACATTGCTGGCTCCTAGTGAAATAGGCTTGAATTTTTAATTCTGGCATGGTCCTTTTTAGTGCTGCAGACGTCATTGCTAACCGCGTTAAAATAGCAGCCAGGTTCAGATTTGTGCAACGCACGGACCCAAGTCTTTCTTTCTTTTTATTTCTAGATGCATAAATACAATTTTAGCCTAATTGTTGCAAAGCTGAATTCGTTTCCTGTATCACCCTCTTTCCTCTAGATGAAGAGAATAATCTGCATGTTGTGCTAAACTGCAGCACTATTACAGAACAACACCAGGAGGACAAATGTTTTGTTTTATTCCTTTAACTGAATGGACAACGATTAACAGTGTCAATAAAACTCAATAAATACTATCTGTCTATGTAGTCTACATATATATATATATATATATATATATATATATTATATATATATATATATATATATATATATATAGAGAGAGAGAGAGAGAGAGAGAGAGAGAGAGAGAGAGAGAGACAAAATGTGTGCACTAAAAATATCAAAGCAAGATTATGTGCCACTTTTTGTAAATATTTGCATGAAAAAAATAACTAGCTAAACTATAAAGGAAAATACTAACAGTGAAGAGTGGCTGGTGGAGCACCACACTCTAACACAAAAAGCTCTTGGAAGAAAAACTTACTGTTGAGCCTGTGGATGAGTTTTGTGTCATGTTTTCAAAGTAAGTCATTTCACTTTCTTTTTTCTATGTTGTTAACCATTTACACAGACATTTTCACACTGAAAGCAGCGAGGTTTATTATGCATGCTTCAGCACTAGCACTACTCATTTCTGAAAAAGCCTGTTCTCAGCAAGCAGGGCCTTTATATTGCATAATTACACAATAACTAGATCACAACATTTCATATTTTAATCTGGCAGGCGGTAAACTTGTCACTTATTTACCTGCCTTTAAACCGGCTCACTTGTACCAAGGGTCCATTTCCCACTTAGTAGGTAAATGTCAGAAGCGTAGCCGCCACAGCAGCAGGCAACTATTTCTTCAAGTCATGTAGCTATATATATACATATATGTGTATATATATATATATATATATATATATATATATATATATATATATATATATATATAAGTGTATGCTTGTCTGCACCAACTTGTGCATAAGTCTAGTAAAGATCAATATACAATATATACATATATATATATATATATATATATGTGTGTATATATATATATATATGTATATATATATATATATATATATATGTATGTATGTATGTATATATATTGTATATTGATCTTTACTAGACTTATGCACAAGTTGGTGCAGACAAGCATACACTTAAGGACAATGGAAAACAATGATAATCATGAAGTTTAATCAGGTGGCCAAGTGACGCCTTACTCACGACCTACAAAAACATATGTTTTGGCTTTTTTTGTTTTGTTTTTTCTGAATGCATCATATTTTGAATACAGATAAACTACTGATACAAACTTATATTTACTCTATACATACTCTCAGCACACACCCTTTAAACATGCAGAAGGGAAGGTGAATTTTCTGAATTCATCAGACATAAAACAGTCCTGTCTCACCTACAGCAGAAGTAGTGAAGCTGATTATGAATTAAATTGACTTTTTAAAGGTTTTTTTCATAAGTTCTAGTAAATCAGCCACTGGCTAACTTTAAGATAAGAGTGCATACGTGCGCAGCTTAAGCAGCAGGCCACTGTTGTTCTCCACCCACCATCTACAGTCATGCCCACAGGGCAGCTGCCATTACTGTTCTACCTCCACATAAATCCATTTCGGAGCAGCTGGCACTGTGAAAAGAATATCTGGAGGTCTCATCTTTCCTCTTTCTGCTTCCTGGCCTTTCTAACCTATTTTCTCAGTTTTTGAGCCAACAGCTCTGATCACTTTGCTTTTGTACTAGTATTTCTCAGGTTGATCAGATACGCAGTTGAAGCTAGATGACAATTAAAATAGTATTTTTTGTAATTTTATTTATTTAAAATAAAAGGGTCACATGAAAAAGATATGAAAAAAAGTATCACACCTTCCGATCCAAAATCAGGACCGTGAGTTTCAGATTGGAAACCAGTGATTAGACCTGTATTAGATAGTTACTGGAACCTATCTTCTCCTAACTGTGACATCCAGGATCTCCTGTTATCTTAACTTTGCTTCCCATCTGTTTGCTTGGTGGCTTCAAGTCAGTATCAAAAGAGGTCTTCAAGGCCTTCGTGGAAAAAATGTAGATGACTATGAGTCTGGTAAAATCTTCATAAAGATCTCCCAGTTGCTGAAAAGCAATCATTCTACCATTTCAAAAGCGGTCTACAAGTGATGTAGATTTTAGTGGTCAATCATGATAGACAGTAAGCTGTTATCAGAAGGGGCGATGCTTACTTTTTCCTCACAAAGAGAACATATACTCACGTTTTGTAGATAAAACAACTGAACTTTTGTTTGTTTTTCTCTCATCTGTAAACACTGTTTAAAAAAATATTGAATGCGCTTTATTTATTTATTTATTTATTTATTTTAAAGCAATTTCCATGGGATGTAGCCTACTTAGTATTTCACATAACTATTCACAGTATTATCTGGATTGTGTAACAAGGGAGGAAGCAAACCCTGCACCCCTGTTGGTCACTCAGGGAGCTGATGCCTGTGTTCTCCTCTAAGGCGTAGAGATCCCTTAAGTCCTGTGATACAGAAGGTCAGCGAGCTGTGAAATCCAGAAGCTGACATTGACTTGACGTATGATCATCAGAGGCACTCGAGTTGAAAGACATGTACAGTGGGGCAAAAAAGTATTTAGTCAGCCACCGATTGTGCAAGTTCCCCCACTTAAAATGATGACAGAGGTCAGTAATTTGCACCAGAGGTACACTTCAACTGTGAGAGACAGAATGTGAAAAAAAAAAAATCCATGAATCCACATGGTAGGATTTGTAAAGAATTTATTCATAAATCAGGGTGGAAAAGAAGTATTTGGTCAATAACAAAAATACAACTCAATACTTTGTAACATAACCTTTGTTGGCAATAACAGAGGTCAAACGTTTACTATAGGTCTTTACCAGGTTTGCACACACAGTAGCTGGTATTTTGGCCCATTCCTCCATGCAGATCTTCTCGAGAGCAGTGATGTTTTGGGGCTGTCGCCGAGCAACACAGACTTTCAACTCCCGCCACAGATTTTCTATGGGGTTGAGGTCTGGAGACTGGCTAGGCCACTCCAGGACTTTCAAATGCTTCTTACGGAGCCACTCCTTTGTTGCCCGGGCGGTGTGTTTTGGATCATTGTCATGTTGGAAGACCCAGCCTCGTTTCATCTTCAAAGTTCTCACTGATGGAAGGAGGTTTTGGCTCAAAATCTCACGATACATGGCCCCATTCATTCTGTCCTTAACACGGATCAGTCGTCCTGTCCCCTTGGCAGAAAAACAACCCCATAGCATGATGTTTCCACCCCCATGCTTCACAGTAGGTATGGTGTTCTTGGGATGCAACTCAGTATTCTTCTTCCTCCAAACACGACGAGTTGAGTTTATACCAAAAAGTTCTACTTTGGTTTCATCTGACCACATGACATTCTCCCAATCCTCTGCTGTATCATCCATGTGCTCTCTGGCAAACTTCAGACGGGCCTGGACATGCACTGGCTTCAGCAGCGGAACACGTCTGGCACTGCGGGATTTGATTCCCTGCCGTTGTAGTGTGTTACTGATGGTGACCTTTGTTACTTTGGTCCCAGCTCTCTGCAGGTCATTCACCAGGTCCCCCCGTGTGGTTCTGGGATCTTTGCTCACCGTTCTCATGATCATTTTGACCCCACGGGATGAGATCTTGCGTGGAGCCCCAGATCGAGGGAGATTATCAGTGGTCTTGTATGTCTTCCATTTTCTGATGATTGCTCCCACAGTTGATTTTTTCACACCAAGCTGCTTGCCTATTGTAGATTCACTCTTCCCAGTCTGGTGCAGGTCTACAATACTTTTCCTGGTGTCCTTCGAAAGCTCTTTGGTCTTGGCCATGGCGGAGTTTGGAGTCTGACTGTTTGAGGCTGTGGACAG